ATGACCTCATGATGGCATCGGATGCAGGCGATTGCATGGTTCTGGTGTTGTTGGACCTGAGTGCAGCGTTTGACACAATGGACCACGCCATCATGCTAGATAGACTCAGGGAGTGGGTAGGCATCTCAGGGTCTGCCCTCCAGTGGTTTGCCTCGTACCTCAGTGGGAGAAGTTTCTCCGTGGCGGTGGGCCCGTTCTCATCACATAGCACTCCCCTATCCTGTGGCCTGCCCCAGGGTTCTGTTTTAGCCCCCCTTCTTTTTGCCCTGTACATGCTCCCATTAAGCCGCTTAATTAGCCAATTTGAGGGTGTCTCGTATCACTGCTACGCAGATGATATCCAGATATACTTCTCCTTCAAACCTGTCAAAATGTCTGTCTGCAATTGAGGAGTGGATGTCAAGCAACTTCCTACAGCTCAATGCATCGAAAACGGAAGTCTTGATCTTAGCGGCTGATAACATCGCCTCTAAGGTAGCAAGTTACCTGGGTTCATTCAGTGGTAACATAAGGGCAAACATCAAAAACCTTGGTGTAATTTTCGATCAGTCTATGCTACTAGAGACAAACACATAAAACTTCTGACCCGTACCTGTTTTTTCCATCTCAGGAACATTGCCAAGCTCAGGGGGGTTCTAGCTAAAGCAGAACTGGAGATGGCTATCCATGCCTTTATTTCATCCCGGCTTGATTACTGTAATGCTCTGTTCTCCTGCCTCAACAAAACATCGATAAACCGGTTACAACAGGTCCAAAATGCTGCAGCCAGATTACTCACTCGGTCCAAAAAAACATGCCACATCACTCCGATTCTTTCTGCCCTGCACTGGCTCCCTGTCCATCTCAGAACCCAATTCAAAGTACTGGTCTTCACATATAGAGCTGTCCATGGCCAAGCCCCAGCCTACATCAATGACCTGATCCACCCTCACATCACAACCCGGGCCCTGAGGTCCTCTGAGCAAGGCCTCCTAAGGGTGCCCCGAACCAGGCTAAAGACTAAGGGGGACCGTGCCTTTGAGGCGGTGGCCCCAAGGCTTTGGAACAAACTCCCCCAGATAATAAAAACCTCTGCCTCAATAGAGATTTTTAAGGGGCAGTTAAAGACCCACCTCTTCCGACAGGCCTTTGGGTTGTCGGAGGAGGTGAGTTAGTAGCTGTCTTTTATTGGTGTTTTATCCTATGTATTACCTGCTGCTGTTTTATGCCTTTTATTCTACATGTTATAGTTGTACTTTGAATTGTGTCCTGTGTACTGTACTGTAAAGCACTTTGTACATCCGTGTTGAGAAGGGTGCTATATAAAGTTTCACTTACTTACTTACTGTGACGGCGTTCAGGGTGGAGAAAGTGTACGTTTTTTACATATGTTTTTGTCAGTGAGAAATCAAACATTTTGCAGACACATTTAAAGCTAAAGGGGTTTGATCTTCAAAAGATAGATTTCAAAGTTAAAACTGCAATTTTAAACTACAGCTACAAGATGGAATGTGTAGTGAAGCATTAGTTCGACCTCTAAAGTCTCGCTAATCAACTCCTGCTTCAATCCTACATGCTAGACAAGCTGTCTTCAGCAAAAGATATCTGTGCCCCGTTATTCCATGTACGAAGAGATTAACATATGACACAACAACATAAGCCACTTCCAGACAAACTCCTGTCAGGTGCATTGGTCAGCACACAAACTCTGCCAGTTCCTCCATACTGCAGCGCAGTGGCCTCCGCCCCCCCGCCTGCCTCTCAGCCTGCAGCAGATGGACTGTAAGGGGTTAAACCTCCTGAACCTTCCACCCTTCCCACTGTGTTGGCTCCCACCCTGATTCCAAATATACACACTCACTCACACTCCTCCCAGTGTGCCCTCAGTGCTTCCAAGGCACAGACTGGGCAGATAAGAGTGCCACAGAGAGCCTGCTGCCACGCTGAGGCCCCTCTGCTCCGGGCGGGCCCCTGTGCCTGTGGACTTATCTCCGGCCCCATTGGTACCATGCAGGGGGGGTTGGCAGGAGCCGGGACTTGCTTGGCTTTGGCACTGGCCAGTGTTTGTTCTATGTAACCTCTTGCTTTCTCCGGAGGCACACTGAAAATGTGGTTAGTTGAAAGCAATAATATTAAGTTGAACCTCATTTTTTTTAAATTTAAACTTAATATTATTACTTTCAGTTTCAGTGTTAGTGGAATGGTGTTTCTTTGCAGACAGACACTCCTGTAAAACACACACTTGCAGTTTCTTCTCCACCACAGTGGATAAGGGATTCCTATCTGTCAGAACAACTGCTGTGCACAAAATGGTCCCTTTGCGAGTGTGTGTTTGCAGACAGCTGCAGAGAGTGTCTCTTCCCGAAGGAGCAGGAGCAGAGAGGAAAAGCAACAGAAAGCTTGCTCTACAGAAAACAGATGAAGTGATCAGCTGTGAGGCCGTGCAGACTGCATGACACTGCTACTACACCAACAGGCTCAGAACACACAGGAAAACACTTCCACCGCAAAGAAAACTGCTGCACAACACAAAAAGGAGTGCAGTGGAGAAACACATTAGGGATACTTCATGGGGAGTTTTCTACTTAATTCCTTTATTTTTAAAGTGATTCACAAGACCTCTGCTATACTACCTGCTATACGGCTTATATCAGTTATATCACTAATATCCAGCAGCTTCTGATGCCAGCACCTAAACAGAGCTATGGCAAGGTGGGGGGGGGGGGGGGATTCAGATGGATTATTAAATGAAGGGCTGCAGCATTTCAGGGAAATATGATGCCGGCTGTAAGGTGTTTGATTCTGGAGTTTCACACATTTTTATTTGGAGTGGAGTTTCTTTTACCGCTTTCAGCGGGTTTGAGTTATTCTCTATTTTTAAATATTAGATTCAATCGCGAGAGGCAAGATTCAGGGGTTAGAGGAATTATTTAAAACTTCACTGGTGTCTCTGCAAAAACCGCTAAAAGCATGCCGTTTAAAGTTATTTTGTTTAGGTTGTATAAGGATAACAAAGGCACGTTTTCTTTCTGTGAGAAGGCTGTCAATATCACATAATGATCAGTACATTCAATCAATGTCAATGATATCTGTCATTCACTAGTTTTCTATTGGGAAAGAAGTCAGAAGTGAAATTTTTAACAGCAATAAATAAATAAACTCATCTTTATATTTTAATTCATACAAACTGTCTCCATTTATTAATTACCTGCTGCTGTCAAAACAAAGCTAGAGGATACTTTATGGTTCTTTTCTAACATTAAAGCTTGAGATGGCCCTATCTGCATTTCATTAAAGTGCTGCTGATCAAAAGCAGCTTTGTTATGCAGAGAAAAAAATACAAAATGTCCGTTGGACAGCCATCTGATAGGAGCTTGTTGTATTTTAAGTAAGTAACATCTGCTCCAGAGAAGCTGCCAGCTAACTGTGGCCTTTCCTTCCCCTCCCTGAAGAAGATTTGTTTTAGCCTTCCTGTCCAGTGGCGACAACTCTTATCTGTTTAGAGGAGCTCGCTGTCTTCCCATAGAAACAGACCTGGTTCAGAGGCCGGTTCAGAGGATGGTTCAGAGGCCGGTTCAGAGGATGGATCAGAGGATGGTTCAGAGGCCGGTTCTGAGGCCGGTTCAGAGGATGGTTCAGAGGCCGGTTCAGAGGATGGATCAGAGGATGGTTCAGAGGCCGGTTCTGAGGCCGGTTTAGAGGCCGGTTCAGAGGATGGATCAGAGGATGGTTCAGAGGCCGGTTCAGAGGCCGGTTCTGAGGCCGGTTCAGAGGCCGGTTCAGAGGATGGTTCAGAGGCCGGTTCAGAGGCCGGTTCAGAGGACGGTTCAGAGGCCGGTTCAGAGGACGGTTCAGAGGACGGTTCAGAGGCCGGTTCAGAGGACGGTTCAGAGGACGGTTCAGAGGCCGGTTCAGAGGATGGATCAGAGGATGGTTCAGAGGCCGGTTCTGAGGCCGGTTCAGAGGCCGGTTCAGAGGATGGTTCAGAGGCCGGTTCAGAGGATGGTTCAGAGGCCGGTTCAGAGGACGGTTCAGAGGATGGTTCAGAGGCCGGTTCTGAGGCTGGGGAGGATGTTGGGGAGGAGATAGGATGAAGTGTTGGAGGCCGGAGAGGAGGGTGGGGGGTGGATCTCAAGTGCAAGTTCCCAGGAGATCTGACACCAGGGTCAGGGCTGGTGTCTGAAGTTAACTCAGCCGAGTAAAAATGATAAGAGAGAGTCCTTTGAAGCCGCTCCTGCACTCTCACAGTATTACTCTTGAAATCAATCTGTGATTTTATTTGGTTAATATTACTGGAATTACATAAGACTAACCTAATCTAGGTCAAATGTCTTGCCTATACACAGACTTGTAATACATTACATGTTACTTGTTAGACGCTTTTATCCAAAGCGACTTACATACTCAGTACACAGGAGCAATTTGGGGTGAATTTTCTCAGGGACACAACGACATGCTGACTGCAGTGGGGTTTGAACCTGTGCTCCCCTGATCTGAACACCAACGCACTAGGCCACTGCGCCACACGCCTGTATTCCACTACACAGGGATGTCACTAGCCCACATTAACTTCATAATAACTGTCTGCATGTTTTTGATAAGATTAGAAAATGGCTCTATATTATCTATTTCATTGTTTGTTTGTTCATGACGTTATCATTTTTCTTCACCCATCATAATGTATCTCAATGGAACCTCAGTTCGGCAACATTAGCTATGAGCTCAGTTATTTAGCCAAGCCACCGGTGGCTAAGTAACCAGCGCTCCTTTTGCCAATTTCAATATGAATATATAATCTAGCATTTTAGGGGGGAAAAAATCCCCCTGGCGAGAATTTAGCTCATCCCAAACACATTATCTATTATCCCCGGGACAACAGGATGCCATTATTCATGAGCTTTCAGTACCTGAGGCACTGTAGGGGAAAGAAAGTGCTACCAACGTGCCACCAGAGTGTGGAATATCATGACACCTACACACAGTTCCTTTTTGTTCCGTGTGTGTGAGGTTCTCTGACTTACTTGCCACCTCCAGCGATGCGTTGCGACTGACCGCCTCTCCCAGGTAGTTTCGAGCCACACAAACATAGAGACCTTCATCAGGTTTGCTCCGCCTCCCGTGAACAATTCTCAGGAAGAAGAGGGAGCCGCTGGGTAAGAGCATCCGGTGGGATCGAGGGTCCTCTCGATCCGTCTCCACGCGCTCGCCATCTTTGTACCATTCCACCATTGGAGTGGGCCGGCCCTCCGCCTTACAGTTGAGGGTGGCCGGCTCACCCTTAGACACGATGAGATCAGACGGGTGTTCCACAATCCGGGGAGCGGCATCTTCTAACCTGGGGCGGGATCCTGGAGGTAAGAGAAAAGAGAAAGGGTTCAACTTGAGTTCCTCCAAATGTCAGCACCTCAGTGAGCATTCTTTGTTTTGATGGTGCAAATCAAGTAGCAACCCCCTGAGTCTGAAGAGAGAATATAATGCAGAAGTCCCTAAAACCAGCTCTCTCTCTAATGATCAGCAGTGGGCGAGTTTATGAGACAATTACCTTACTTCTCACTTGATTTGTTGCTTCAGTAAACATGTTCTTAAGAAGTGAATGTTCTGAAGGGCTAGGTTAAAGTATTCTTTAATCTGCCACCACAGCATTGCTCATTAAATGTGCAGCTTTCAGTTGTACTAAAAGACACTCTAAGAACAAGCTCTGTTTGTTGTTTGTTTTAGAAAGTACTTTGTGTCAGCCAAGCAGGTCATGTTTCTAACGTTTGGCAAACCAAGATGGCAAAAAAAGAATACTGGCCAGATTTTTATTTATAATTACCCTTTTGGAGCACATAAGACAAATGATGTTTCACTTCAATGAACATTGGCAGAAAGGGCTTTTGAGCTGCATTAATGTTGTGTCGGAATAATCGGAAACATGTTTTCCTGGTTTATAAAAGGTGCCAACTAAAAAGCCAAACTCTAGTCTTCAAAACATGAATTGACAAACCAAATGGGTGATGTCACAGTAACTATTTAAACTTCTTATATAGAGTCTATGGTACAAACATGTTACAGAATATGGCTGTTTATATGTCAGCAACAGGACTGACAGTTGAGGTTGTACCAACTTATCTCCAAACCAAAGCCACAACAGATTGAAAAGGACATACATTCAGGTTGTTCACAGATGCTACGCTGGATATAAAAAGTGTGGTTGCACTGGCGTAGGAAGAATAAGGTAAACCTATTTTCTGTATTTGTATACATTTTAGCCAAAGCACATAAGAGCACACTTGGTGTGTGAACAGCCTCAGAAAAACACACACTTTTATTGCAGAAACATGGCAGTGGGAAGCAAGCGTGTAATGTAATTACCTAACAGTTATATTAAAATATAAATCAAGAGGACGTGTGAAATGACATGCTCTAGATTCTGCATCTATTGAAAACAAAACCCAATTCTCCCGCAGTAGAGGGGAAGCAGGAGGGGAATAAACAGGGAGGAACTGTGCTATTCATACGCTCATGGGAAGGTAGGTTGACTGAAATACTGAAATATTAAAATACCAAAATATACAACCAACCCCAATACAAACTTTTTTTGAAAAAGCTTAAAACATTCAAAGTGTTTTTTTGTATGTAAGTCATTTGCAAAGCTCTGTGAGGTTTCTTATTTATAATAATCAAAGTAAATGCTGTTTCCTTTCAGTGTTTATGCACTTTGCAGACTCTCTCGCTTTTTCTTAGTAACTAAATGAAGAACTAGATAGATGCAGATATAGATGCAGGCGATGTTATTCCCACAGGTTTTTGCAAGCTTTGAAATTGCTTTTTGTTGCCCTCTGTCTTTCTTTTTCATACATCATTTTTCGTTGTTTTCAAATTGAATTTATTGAAATATCCAATATCAACGTAAGAGCTTGTGCCTCTTCGGGGGGTGCTAACACTTAACCATAAACGTTATCGTTTACTTTCTCCGTCTTTATATGTAGATATTACTTTTCTCCGTTAATCTCCGTCACGTTGTTTCCATAGCAACAACAACTTCCTGTCAACAGCGCTAACTTTCAAAATAAAAGCATGTCCATAAAAAATAGGAAGCCAAGCCAAATTACACTTGATACATGCTGCAACGAAAGTAACAAACACAATATCCTTTTCAATTTCAAAGAACACAAATTGGGTTGTATACATTAACAAATAACTATAAAACAACAATACTGTAGAATAACAACACGAATGCCGTGAATAAAACCGAAATACACGTGATGAAGCGGTTGTAGCCCCCTTGCCAGCGATTCTCTCTCTAGTTTAGCATACTCAGCCCGACTCAGCCTGGTTGTTGGACCGCTAAGAACCTTGATTTTATGGGGCCAGAAAAACTGTGAAATAGTTAACAAAAGTAACAAAATTACTTGTTGTTATTCTTGTACATTGACTGTCAAAATGCTGCTGTGACAAAACAATTTCCAAACTTTGGATAAAGAAAGTATAGATCTATTTATCTATAAGGTTGTGATGGTCAGGGGTCCACTGACATGTTTGGTTATCTATTCTATAACATCACTTTGGCTTAAGGCTACATTTTGAAACAAAAAACACAGAGGACAAAAAAGAAGATGAATCCATAGGAATAAATGAGACTGAATATTTGCCCTCAAACTGACACATCCTGCATGAGGTTTAGGGAATTAAGATGGAGCTAGTTCCTGTGGCTGATGGAATATAGAGTGCCGTCTGATTGCCCTGCTCTCACTGCAATTACTTTCACCGAGATAGAGAAATAGGAAGTTTTGAAAAACGGAGGAAATGGTTTTGAGGCTTTGATGTTGCTCTTAGCAAGAATCAAATTGCAGCTGGTTAATGTCTGAAATCTACTTCCAGCAGCAGAATGTTTAAATATACCATTTAGGTTATATTCCACTGACATAGGAAAAAAAACATTCCTTTCTTTGTCTCGTCTTTTTTTCTTAACTAGACATTAACAGTATATTAGCTGTATGTGTTGAATGGGAGGCATCATGAGGTCAAACAGCTGAATTGTTTAAAAACGTAACAATTAAACTGAACATCTTCTATACTGTCTGTGACATTGATTTTGCGTGGGCTGCGGGTTCATCAACAATAGTTTTGATTATTTCTAATACTTTAGTCTGCTGACTATTAGAATATGCGTACAATATCCTATATTTGATGTGCTACTACATTTATTCTCATGATGAATGATTCATAAGAATGGAAGTGGTTGTAGTTAAAGTGGTCGGGTGAGTCTTCATGGATGTACAGTAGGTTAACTACTTTCAATGTAACCTGTGCTAAAACACAACATTTTCTGTGATGTTTTTTTATTTGTATTCTATAATCCATGATTACAGCATTGGACATTGGGTGTGCTAAATGTCTCTTTTTTTTTAACAAGGTAACGACCCGTAGGAATAAACATCTTAATATAGCCATAATCTTGCAACAGCTTCTACTGTTGTGTTTCCGAGCAATAACTATGGACTGTTCATCTAATAGCTTTAAGGTATCATATATCATGGCTGGAATGAGTGTGTGTGGTTGGGAGGGTTTGGGGGGGGGGGGGGGGGGGGGGGGGGGGGGGGGGGGGGGGGGGGGGGGGGGTGGGGTCAGCAGGTCAGAGTAATTAAGAGCTATCCCATAAATGTTACAGTACAGGCTGGTTGGAACAAGCCATGTGGAAATGTAAAGTGAAGGTTTTTAAAGAGTTAGAGACCACAGCGTTTACTGAGCTAAACGTCACACTGAGCTACAGATGATACGCCTCGTCTGAGGACCGGCTGAAAGCATCTCTCCGCTACCCTCTACAGTGCTTCCTGCTCTGGGACGTCATACACAGCTCAGCCTGGGGAAACAGAAAAATAATAACTGTGACTGAATCGAGATGATTTTGAGAGTCTTTAGAATCCACGCTGTAATGATAGTGATCGTGCTGCAGGCTGTACATTAGTGTGACAGTGGAGGAGCAGATCTGCCAGTTGATAGAGACTGACTGCACTCAGGGACATTTACATTTCTGAAGTTCAAGAATTCCCCAGCTATAGCTCACAGTGAGTGTAGACGTGATAACGGATAAGGCTGGGAAAGATGGACTCAAATCAGGTCAAATGGACAGCTGGAGTCTGGAGAGTGTGAATGGTTGTCTGATAGGAAAGTCCGGACCCTCTAAGGGCCTATTAGCTCTCTCTCCTGTCTGTGGAGTTCTGCAGCAGGGTGGCAGAACCTCTCAAAGCTATATGAGCTAACGAAGCCACAGGGATGAGATTCCAGACAGTGAGAGCCAGAGTGTGTTTGACATTATGGAGAAAAGATTAAATGTTCACTTAATTCCCATGCGAAAAGAATGGTGTCGTACACTTGAAAGATGTGTGTGTGATTTCCTTTATAAGTCTGGTAGCTGTCAGCCCTCCTGTCAGTTTTAATATCTTGACTTTAGCGGAGAAAACTGACAAGTGACCATTCAAAATAAAAATGTGCATACATGGTTTGGAAAACATGAGGAATCCTCGCTACAGGGTACAAGGGCTCTGGATAGTTTGATTAATATGTTCTCAGCCCTAGGAAACACCTATGGGAGACCCACCATTCACACCAATGTCAAACCACGGGCACTTGCCTCAGTTAGCTAACATTCCATTAGCTTGTCTTTATACAAAGTTATTTATGTGTCAATACAGCAGATGAAAACAAAGCACTTTCCCTTAATCGCCTCCACTCAGACTCTGATATGTCCGAACTGACAGACCCAAAATCAAAAAGGTCTTCACTATGTGAATAGATAATATATTCAAACACTAAGACAAATGCATACACAGAGAGGGAATTACTGTCAAACAACTTCAAATACATTTTGACCGGGAAAATGGGAAGAGCGTGACGGAGAAATAGTGTGCAAAAATAAGTGAGACCAGTTTGAAGAAGCCAAAGGGAGCTCACACTCTGCTGCAATGTCCTCTCTATAAGGGAGGGGGGGGGACAAGTGCTGAGTCACAACCTCTTCTCATCTCGTACGAGAACAAGTGGCTTGGTGATCCCTGCTGATATAAATCAAAAACAGAGCACCACTGCCAAAGATCTACAATGTTATATATCCCAATGTGCTATATTTGTAAATCCTCTGGAGCAGAGAGGAGCTGTGGATTATTGTTATTGATTAATGCATCAGTGTTTCTTAGGGTCAAAAACACTAAACTCACAACTTAAAATGAAAGCGTTTAGTTTATTTAATAAAAGAGCACATGTTCAATGTGAAAAGTGATAGTAGATATAGATTAGTTGCAATTTGGTGCTATATATATATATATATATTTTTTTTTAAACACCTTGAATTTCAGGGGGGGCGGGCTCC